GGAACACGCGGCCAGCTGACAGCCCAGACGCGTCTGGGCTGTCCGCTGCCCCCGTGTTCCGCCGCTTTGCTTCCTCTCCCTGGTCTGCTGGAGACCAGGGAGAGGAAGGGCCCCGTTCGTAACTGCGGATCCGACTAAAGTCGGATCCGCGTAACTTGGGGACTGCCTGTAATCAGCAGTAGACAACACATACATTTTTACAGGTGCAACACTATATCTCAATCCCCTTTAGTAGAAAAAAGGATTTGAGCACCAGAAGTCCCTTCAAAGAGACTCTGGGAGAAAAGAGCAAGAGGCATAACAATAGGTTTGGTGCACAATATGAACATCAGATGAATAATAAAATAGGGTGAAAATCAGAGTACAGCAAAAGAGAGTCAACGGCATTGTTGGGGGAAACAGTTATAGGGAAGGTGGCACTGGCTGAAGCAATAGGAACGAACCTGTCTAATGTGTGAACCATTTAGCTATTGTAACAAGATTTGATGAGGAATTAATATGAGTGGCTATGGAAGCTGAGCTTAGAGCACCCAAGGAGTCAAGGGAATGCAAAAAAATGACTTTATTATCTACTGCTCCCAGTATGTTTTATATCAATAAAGAATAAAGTTAGCCTCCTTTTCACTGTAGTTCCAGTCCAGTTTTTGCTCACAAAATACAGATTTAATTCCATTAAGTTCTGAAGGAAGCTTACAGTATATACATAGTTTGTTCCTTACCATGTTATCAACATAATTTACTGACTTAAAACCAATTCCCTTGCTTCACAGAGCTGTGGATTTTGGTCTTTTTGCAGTCTGGGTAAAGCACAGTTGTAGCAACAGAGTACACATGTACACAGCAATCTTTCAATTTAGTTTTATGTATTAAAATAGTTGCAAATTAGTCAAATAAAGGGATCTTGGCAAACAGTTTGCCCAAAAGGACAACTATATAATGCATGGCATAGAGGTCAAATTTTGCAATCAAATAAGCATGGGCATAAATAATAGATTCTAAAACCTGATCAGTAGAAGCAGACTCCTGTTCCTGTACAGAAGCCTCATGATTTCCATGCAACATTAAAGGTCTGTCCACCTGCCTATTCGGACAGGGCAAATAAATTTGAGCCATTTCACCTCCCTCTTTCAAATTGTTTGTAGATAATTTGCAAACTTGTTCAGTTACAGCTGAAATGAACGTTTTGACAACAGTTAATATTTTACCATTTTCATGAGTGTGAATGGTTTGAAGTTCAGATTTTTGACTGGATGTAGGTCACGTGACTCATTCTTGTGAACTGTCTGGAAGTTTTTAGAATTAAGTTTCCAGTGCAAATACACGTTTTTTCTTTCTACACTATTTATTTAAATTCAGCTAATCTTTCAAAGATTTATTTGCTAAAATAGTCACAGGAATGAAAACCAGTCATGAACACACATGAAGCAACTTCATTTAAAACCTCAGTAGTAGAAATTTGCAGAATTTTTGAAATCTTAATGTTTTGTGGCATAATTAAATTCTTGCTCTTGTCAGAATGACACTTCACAAAGACCAACTCACATTCTATTTCCAGAGACGTTAAGTATATTTGGGCAGAATTTACAAATATGAAATCTGACAGCCCAATGGATAATACCCCTTTTTAGTCTGTCTTCTCAATCTGTGTCCTAACAACTAGCACATTATTATTATACAAGTGAAGTTATGCATGTGCAGTGTTGATTACAGGACTAAAGCCTAAGTATGGATGTCACTTTTTGACTTTTAAATAAAAATGTATAATTTTAAGCACTATACTCATTTTCTTCATCTACTAGAACAGTTTCATCACTGTATGGTGTTTCCACTGTTGAATGGTGGATTATACATAAAGCTCCTGAAGAAGTATTTCTTTTGTACAGGAACCAAAATAATGCTGCAGAAACTGTCACAACTATAGTAAAAATTATGACCAAGGTGGTAGTCAAGGCAGTTTTATCTGAAACAAAAGAAGATAAGTTTTGTAAATGTCTATTCATACACTTGACTATACTATGCCAAAGGGGATATTAATTGCACCGTTATTAAATTTATTTTATAATAAATTGTATTTGTATTGTCTGTTAAGTGGCAGCACATAGAAACATTAAGATTATTTGGTGAACATTCTAAACCCATTAGCTCTTCCTTACCTGTAATCTAGTCTAAGCGTAGACTTTTTTGTCATTTAAAAGCTTAAATTCCAGCTGCTGAGATTTCCTTTAAAATCCCACTTTCTACTCTTCATTTTCCAGAATGTTTAAACAAATACATAATTTGAAGTTAAGGATTTAACTAATCTAGGCGTTGTACTTTATGCTTTACTAAAATAATGAATTATTTTATATCTGTGCTGTTTTATAAGGAATTATTATAATCCCAAAAGTGGAGCAAACCCAGTGGAAGACCCAGCTCTAAATTACCATTCATTTTGTGGTATTTTTATGATCTCTTGGTGGAAAATTTCTTGTGGAAATTCCCTTACATTTACAATTGTCAGGGAATTCAATTCGGAATGTGCTACTGTTAGTGCTCACTGTGGGAAAAAATACTCTTTACATACAATGTGGGATTTAAAACATTAAATTAGCACCCCTAGATCCTATGCCTTTCTCAACAAACAGAAAGAATCTGCAATAGTTAAGGAATGAGAAGTGAATTTACTTCTAAGTGTCACAAATATGGTCTAGGAGAAAATATGAAGCTGTTGCATCCTTAAAGGTAATCATTCTTTTCATTCCCCTTATTGCCTACTTGGGGCTTAAGTGGTTTCAACAGCCTACCATGGAGAAAGTATCAGCACAAGCAAACCAGCTGACAATGGAAATTGAGTGTTAGCATGAGTACACAGATCCATGTTACACTCACCTACCTCAGTGTAAATCAAGAGTAACTGCACCAATATCAACAGAAGCTAATCCAGATTTATAAAGGTGAAAGGCAGGCATGTCAAACAGGTGTTTGGAGGGCCGCATGCAGCCTGGTCAACATTTTTTGCAGCCCGCCACTACATTTTATAAAAGAATGCCGCCCAGCCATTCTGCACACGCCACTGCAGTAACTGCTCATGACTGGCCTGGGCCTGCTCTGCGCTGGGTGCTCCAGCACATGCTCATGGCCGGCCGGCCGCTCTGCACGGGCATCAAACACCTGCTCACACCACCCCAGTGGCGGCGGCTCTAGGACCCAGGCATTAGGTTGGGGGGGCTGGAAGTGCCTGGCTCTGGGGGAGAGGGGAGACACTAGGTTGGGGGGACTAGGAGTGCCTGACTCTGGGGGAGGGATGAGTCATTAGGTTAGACTGGGGGGGGCGCTTTGGGTCAGAATGGGGGTATGGGAGTGCCTGGCTCTGGGGCAGAGGAGGGGGATATTTTGTTAATAAATAAATAAAAACTAAATGTTAAATAAAATCACAGAATGTATATTAATTTTATATCAATACATATGTCAATTTGTTACAACTGCATGAATATTATGTTTATGCAAAATCTCAAACTTACAAAGTATCTGAAATTTTCTCAGAAGCCTATTCTATTTGATTAACCATAGTCTATACTTGTTTTTATTTCAACAAAACAAGTTATGTATCACGTAAAAATTAAAATGTACCTTAAATTTATATTTAAATTAAAAATTATCTTATATGGGCAAAAACAATTTTAGACATCAAATTGTTGTATTATATTAAAACAAGATCTGAAAAATTATAAAATATACCTAAAACATAATCTATAATAATAAATAATTACAACTTCTTTGATAAAGTACATTTTCTTTGGTGGCCCTGAAAGCTATCAGTTTTCATTTGTGCGGCCCTCAGTAGGCTTCGAGTGTGACATGTCTGGTTTAAGGAGAGTACATGATCAGATCAAAAGCCCCACCCAGAAGGCATGAAATGGAAGAGTTACATCTAGCGACAGAAGAAATGCTGTCTAAAACTAGTGCCATTGAATGTTTACAAATGTAAACTAGTTCAGACAGTAGTTTGTAACCACAGTTTGGTTCAGATGAAACAAGCAGTGATCCATACATTTGTGAGCAAAACTACTCATTAGATAGTAATGTTCCATTAGTTTCAGAGGAGAATATTCTGAAACAATCCAGATGCTTCAGAAATTCTCCAGTCAAATAAATCAATGCTAACCATTGTTAACTGAAGGTTTCTATTCTATATAAAGTGATAATCTATTCAAATTTAAAGAGAAAAAATAGCTTACTTAAAAATGTGAATTTCTATTAAAACATTAAAATTCTAGGTTAGATGAATATGAAAAATGAAATTAACTTTATACCAGTTAACAATGGATTAACACTTGACAAGAAAACTTACACAGACATGAAGCAATTTATCACCTAAGGCAGTCGCTTTCTCCATTTTATTTATTTGTTTTAAAGACCATCTAACTTAATGTTGATCCAATTAGCAAATATTTTATTGAGATAAGGTAAACTGAAAATACCTTTTCAATTGCATGAACTCAGTGTCCTGGGGATTATGTGGTAACAGTAATGCTGATTCCTGACCTGACGAGGTTAATAGGAGCTCAGAAAGGGATGCCCTCTCATATATTGCACTACTGAAAATTTTACTCTGCTAAAATGGTAAAATAATAAGTTATGGATATGACCAAGCGAAGTAATATCTATTTAGAAACTGGTTCTGAATATGCATCTTTATGAGTAGTTAAGTTACATGCTAGTTACTCTTACATTTGATCGAGTTAGCCCCAGCAAAGGACATTTGTTTCTGACCCCTTAATTTAACGCCCGTGTAAGATGCCAGGCTGGGTTTTTAGAATGGCTTCCTGTTACAGAAATGGTTTAATCTCTCCTGTCTATGCCACACATGGATGAAGAATAATTTTATAGTGTTATTTTTTAAAATATTCTTAACCTGTTAGGGCCTATTCATATTGGAGACACAACCATGGTAGCTGAAGTCCTTTTTAGGACAGAGTTTAAAAGCAGTTTCCAAGCATGATCCATTTTGTAGTGGAGGTAGGGCCCGAAAAATTTGTGTATACATAGAACCAACAATTCTAGAGATTTGCTTCCCTCATCCTCTGGTCTGAAGACCATCCTTATGTTTCAGGTTAAGTAATTTTAGTACATTTTGAATTCTCAGATGATTTAGAAAATAGAGGAGGCAGGTAGAAGCTAGGCAGAGGCCATGATGAGAGTTCTGTCTAGGAAGGGAGATGAATAAAGTGTCACTTGCTACTTTGCACAATCTCTTTAGGGATTAATTATAACAGCTGCAGATTTGATAAAGAAAAAGGCAATTCCTACCTCCTGAGGGCTATTAAAAGGCTATTAGCCAGGGGATAAAATGGTGTCCTTGGCCTCAGTTTGTCAGAGGCTGGAGAGGGATGGCAGGAGACAAATCGCTTGATCATTGTCTTCGGTCCACCCTCTCTGGGGCACCTGGTGCTGGCCACTGTCGGCAGACAGGATACTGGGTTAGATGGACCTTTGGTCTGACCCAGTACGACTGTTCTTATGTAGGGTTACCATATTCAGGCTCCCAAAAAAAGAGGACACTGTTGGAGGGAGAGGGGTGGAGGGGGAGTTGGAGGAAAGTTGGAGGGGTGTGCGTATAATGGGAAGATACCTGAGGGGAGTTGGAGGGGTACCTCTGGCCTCATTCTCAAGGAAGGGGGCAGTGTTACTCCCTGGCTGATGCAGGATCAGGTTACAGCATTAGCTGTAAGTCAGTGCCTCCCTTTGGGCCACTCCCCCTCCCCAGGGATGAGAGCCTGGGCCTGGCAGGGTGACATCTGGCAGCCATGGCTGCAGGAAAGGAACCAGTCAGAGCATGGAGACAGCTTTTTCTGAGCTGTAACGTTTTCCGGCAAAAATCCCAGACACTGACTCCTCTTTAAAAAAATCCACCTGGACAGAGGGTGGAGACTACAAAAAAGAGGTTGTGTCCAGGAAAACCCAGACGTATGGCAACACTGTATATATTTTTTTCATCTATTTTACATCCAAGAGATAAACATGACTAACCATAAAACGATCTGGAAAAATGTCACAATTTGTGCAACCCTGACCTACTTCTCCCCTAGCTGTGGGAATTTTACTAACTTCTTGCCTCTAAGTTATAATATTAGTAATAAAGCTCTCTCCCTTCTTTATGATAAAAGAATATCAGCTGACATAATATTTATGCACATCACCCAAGATAGGGGAATAGATAAATAAATCAAAATGCATAGTTTTATAGGCAGGAGAAACAAAGCGTCTCCTCCTTTGGAGGTGGTAGTTGGGAAGCAAATGAGTGTGGCAGTGATTAACATTCATAGAGTGCTTGTAAACTAGGAAGATATGTAAGGAAAGGTATGCAAATACTTACCTGGTAAGTATTTTTTTTCATATGCAACTACAAGAAAAAAAATAAAATTGTTTAGTTTGTTTCATGTTTGTATGCAATAAACTACTATTTTCAAATCAAGTTAATTTTCATTATAGTTTTTGATGTGTAAACAACTGAGGGGAGAATCCATTTTCACAGAAAAAAGTTCACCTAATTGTATTAATAAAAAAATGACCTCACCACACCATTTATACAGGTGTCTATGAAGCAACAGAAAATGCAAAATAAGGTAATGTGTGTGAAGGTGACAGGAAGTGTCATTCAAGTCTTAAACTAGGAGCAGACTATAATCTCACGTCTCTGACTGGCTCTTCTGTGTCCTCAGTCAAGTCACTCTGGTTCCCATCTGCAATATAGGCCTTATTCTTCTCTTATTTGTCAGAGAAAGTGTTTTGCCTTCAATAGTTTCTCCTAATTTGCACTGGTATGAAAAGAGGAGTAGGACCCTATAAGTTCAACTTTGTTTTTATAGCCAGCTGGTGACATGCTCATCAGACTTGGCTACAACAAACAACAGCTGCCAAGTGTCAACACTGAAGTTTTCCCT